TCAGCTGTTTCCAGGCCCCCCCCTTGCTGGCCAGCACCGTTCCCTTCCTGGCCGGTCCCCCCCTCCCCAATGAAGCGTGTTCAGGGTGTTTTTTTGGGGGGAGGGGGGTTTAAATGATTACCTGGTAACCCCTAGCAGTGATCCAGCTCTCAGAGGGGTGGTTTTTTTTTTTTTTTCTCCTCAACAACTTTGGTCCCCCCCCCCCCCCTTTTTTTTTTTTTTTCCAAAAATTTTCTCTGTGTTTTTTTTTTGGGGGGTTGGTATTTTTCTTTCAGCCATCTGGCAACCCTACTGGGGATGCGCTACTTCAAACTACATTAAATTTTTGCACACAGTGGGAACCTGTGCCTTTGACTTTACAAAATCAAGTGCTAAAAAATTGATTCTAATAAATTCAGCCTTCTCTCTCAGTGTAGACATGGCCCCCCTAACTAGCTAATGTTAAAGTGTGTTAAACGAGGTCCAGGATTTGATATAAAGAGATCTGAGCACCCTGGCGCAAACGCTAATAAAAGGTTAAACGGATTTTTAATGAAGATACAGAAAAGGAATTAAAATGTCTGAAATGTAAAATATTAAGTAAAGTTTTCATTTTAAAAACATTTCTTGTACCCTTTCCCTTTAGCTGGATTATACCTGGCTCACTAAAATTCAGTCAGCAAAAAAAACTGTTCTAAAACAGGGAGACTTCCAAGGATTAAAGCTCAATTTCAGAGCAGATGCAGGAAGAGGAAAGGGTTCTCATGCTGGGCTGCAAATTTCCTTCATCAACTACTAGACAACAGCAATTTTGCATTAGAGATAGCCCCACTCTCTCCTTCAATGTGTCTGCATGATGTATATAGTCCTTTATATTTTTAAATTATATAAAGAATTCTGGACAGCTGAAGGTATCATTAATGGGATACAAGACCTTTAGGTTGCTGGTGTGAGTGAAAGCTCTGTTAATGGTGATCAAAATCCATTGTCTTCTGATGGCTCTGAAACAAGTTGGTATTCTCATTCTAGTTCCCAATTGATGTGTGTCCATATCAAAGTATATACCACATTACCTACTGTGCTCCTATCTAAAACATTAAATTTGGCTTGACTTTCTTCTATCAGAATATGTTTAAAAAGGCAAAAAGCAACTCTATGAAAAGATAGAAATACACAATTTAGAGAATAGAGAGGTAACCGTGTTAGTCTGATCTTGGTAAAACAAAAGGGAAAAAAATTATGTAGCATTTTAAAGATTAACAAGATAGTTTATTAGATGATGAGCTTTCCTGGGGCAGACCCACTTCTTCGGATCATATTCTGAAAGTGAATTGGCATGACCATTTTAGAGACACAAACAGGAGACTTGGCAAACAAGGTGAGCCAGGTCATTAGAAAATAATATATTTTTTTACTTGCTAAATTGGTGTTTTTCTTAAAATGTGTTTTCAAAATGAAATTATGCTATAAACAGCACAGTTAAAACGAAAATATTAAGTTTGCTTAATATTTTCTTGAGATAATAGAACTTAACACTGTCAATACTGTATTAATTCCTTACATGGTTATTTTATTTTTGATTTGCAGTTACATTTGAATCTACATTTTTTCAAAATATTAGTGTTTACTCTGAGCTATAATATAAAGTACTTTAAACTTGACTTTCTAGTGCCTGTTGTAAACGTATTGATATTTTGTTATTTATAAAATTTCAATGATACTATCTGCTTGCAAAATACTTCAGTTTTATTTCATGATAAATCCATTACTGCTAAAGAACTTAAATCATATTTTTCAAGGTTATCTCTTATCAACACCATGTTTCAGGCCAGCATCCTGTAGATTTCCTCAGACATTGCAGGTTTCAGTCAAACATGCTCATAGTATGAGACAAACACCAGCATTCATCAGAACAGCACAATGAACAAAACTGCAGCAAATTAGATAAACAATATAAATATATATCCAAAGTGTTACATGCTACATCTTTAGCCATTCATCTTTATTGTCCAGTCATACTCTGTTAAACTCATTTCTATTCCAAATACAAATAATTATTTGATATATGTGTGTGTGTGTGTGTGTGTGTATATATATAAATATATAAATGCAGAAACATTTTGAATTTAGTTAAATTCTGTCAAATGTATACAGCACTAAGGAAGCTATTATTAAAGAATGTCTACAGTTTCCTAGGAGATAGAGAAAAGCCCAAGCCTTTCCTCTTTTCAACTGGCATGAGCACACTTTCCTGATTACTAAATACAGAAAACATCATTAAACTGAAAATCTGTTTCCTTTAGAGATACTATTATTAAACTATATAAACCCATCTGACAAAATGAACTGGATGAATAGCTACAGCTTTATCATTATTTTCAGTTATGTCTATATCCCTACCTTGGCACAAATTTCATTTTTTGTGAAACACTTAAGAATTTCCATGTCCATTCCAAAACCTTGTAGTTCCCAAAATATACAATCTCTTGATCTGGATGTAGAAAGAGATCACGTTACTCAACAGATGAAGGAACAAAATCCTGATGTGCAAAAGATAGTGCAGACTTACTAAAGGAAGCAGAAGAAAAGCCTGAGCATTGTGTCACGCCACACACACAGAATAGCAGTGTCAGTAGCCTGGCAACTGCAGCTCTTTCAGAGGTACCATTTTAACTAACTCTTTTTGTTTTGTTTCATTCACTCTGTGTATTTCATCTATTTGCTATACTTCAAGATGGTACTACATTGTTATTTGCAAAACAGCAGCCTTTTCAAGGCCAGTGAAAAGGCATGACTACCACAGTACAGCATTGTTTAATCAGGATATATGTATAATATAAACACACATAAATTAATGACTAGTGGCCACAATCAATTCAGTTTTATATCCTCATGCTATGAATGATTTTGACTCATAAGGTATCATTTTGTTTATGCTGATATATATAGTATTGTATGGGTGCATGAATATGCTGTATCTTTATGATCCTCTTATACATTGGAATACTGACTATTCAAAGCCCCATTTTCTGAGTCTATAGAATGCATGAGGAATGTTAAATTTAGTTTAATCAACTAATTAATTAGTCGATGGATTTTCTATCGATTAGACGATAAATGAGGGAGCCACAGTGGAGTTAGCTCCTGCCCTGAGAGCTAACTCTGCCTTTTAAATATATTAAAACCCTGTTGGTTCTTAATACATTTTAAAAGCAGAGGCGTAGCATCTAGTACTGAATGCAAGCTGGGAATCAGCTGATTCCTGGCTCCCACCCAGTCCCCGTGGAGATGCTGCTGGGGGGAACCGGCTTTTAAACCGGCTCCCCCAGCAACGGGCTCCTGCTCCCCACCCCTTATCCATATTGGTATCTGGGTAACTAGCCAAACAACCAGTTATGCCACACACTAACACTCTCCCCCAGCCTCAGAGGAAGTAAGCCTCACAGTTAGGGTTGTCAACCCTCCCGGACTGAAGCTGATTTTAGGAGACTCCAGGTCAATCTCCCAGTGACTACTGAAAGCAATCCTGGAGATTAATAGGATATTTAAAGAAAATGACATTATGTCATGCTGAAAAAAACCCCTCCTGCAATAGCTTCAAGTTAGAGTTAGCAACCCTAAGTAACAGTGCAACTAGTACACTACCTCTTTTCCAAAGGGACTGAAGACTACAAAGCAAAACTAAGTCCCAACTGATCTTTTTATGTCAAACATAATGATTCCACAGAGAATAATGCAGGGTACTAGGAAAGAACACTGAAATAGTCAGGACATGTGTATCATCTGAAAGCCAATAAACACATTCAACTGCTTAATTCAGGGGTTGGCAACCTTTCAGAAGTGCTGTGCCAAGATTTAACTTATTCACTTCTAGTTACAGATATGAATGCCAAGGGAAAGCTGGGGTTGGGGCCAGCTGAGTACGGTGACCATATTTTCTGAACCAGCTGCAGCTAGGGAGAACAGTTTAAATTTAAATTGTTAAAAAGACTAAGTGTTTTAACTTTTGCATATTAGTTTATCAAACTCCATTTTAAATAAAGTAAAATATCAAATGCATGTCCAACACAAAAGGTTTCAATGTTTTCTTCATTTATGGTAGAGGTAGGCAACCTATTTTTGGGTCGGAGGCCACTGACTCAGAGAAAAATCAGTTGGGGACCACACAAGTGAAAAGAGAAAAAAACTCTACCAAATACCACTAACCCTCACTGATGTGGCCCCCAGCTGAGACACCCCACTCTTCTGGAGTACCAGCCCCATGGATAAGGGGAAGAGACAGGGATGACTGAAGTTCAGGGCTTCTCACAGGCCAGATTTACTTTTCTGGGGTTCCAGAGTTAGTGGATTTTGTGGACCTCCTTAGACTTTGGGGAAGAGATAAAAATGAGGGGTTCAATGTGCAGGACAGGGCTGCTAGTGAGTTGGATAGGGATGCAGAATCTGGGCAGGAGTTGGGGTGCAGGAGGGGATGAGGAGGGCAGGATCTGGAAGAGAGTTTGGCAGCAGGACAGAGTGCGTGGTAGAGATACGTGATGGAGTTTGGGGGCAGGAAGGGGTAGAGAGAGTAACACAGAAAAGGTGAGAGGGTGAGAATGCAGCCAAATAGTTAGTTGAGGAGGGAGGCAAAGAAATAGGGAGTAAAGGAAAGCGCAACTTCTGCAAAGTAAAATTGTACAGGCAGTCCCCGGGTAATATGGATCCAACTTATGTCAGATCCCTACTTACGAATGGGGCTTTTCTCGCCACGGAGGACGCGGCACATCTCGGCGGTCCTGCCGCCCGCGTCTCCCTGGTCTGCTGGGGGGGGAGTGGGCACAGCTATGCGTGCCCCCCCCCACCAGCAGACCAGGCTTTTCTCACACACGAGGAC